GGGGGGGGGGGGGGGGGGGGCGTTTTCATTCCTTAGTGTGTCTATGTTACCAAATATAAGATAGAGAAGAATTGTTAGGTCTAATTGTAATTCGCTATATTCGTATCCAAAATTATGGTTATTTGAATTGTAATTTATGTCAAAAGAGTCAAGGTTGGTAGATTCCTAAAAGATGTCAAAGACAATTCAAGAAGATCAAAAAAGGGTATCACGACCACTCGCTGCACACCAAGGAGACGCTCAGAGTTGAAAGTAGGAACGTTGGTGCTCGCTGTCTACCAACTTACCGCTCCAGCGATGGACACACCGCTTGCTAACCACCAACCTGGCGCTCGAGCAATGGTATTACGTACCAAACCCTAGTTCGCGATTTTTAACAGTTTTTTCAATCCTATTCAACCTCAAACACTTCATATTATAAATACCCATACATAGGTCTGTCCCAATGGGTGATGAATCATTATTTCATACTCGAGACATCCTTTAAAGATCATAAACACATTCCAAAGATCTCTTGACTCAACCCCAAGATTAAATCATCATAATTCATCACAAACATCTTATTTATCGGTTGAGCCTTAATTTCAGTCAAGAGAACATTCTATTGAAGATCAACTTGATTCCATTATTCTCTTGCTTCAACCAAAGATCAAAACACAGAAGATCTAAAGATCAAACACCAAAAACCCTCACCTTCACCTATAAGCCTTCAAAGTTCTAAAGTTGGAGAAGACGCGCTTGAAGTTTCAGCTCTATGAAACAAGTTCATTCTTGGTGATCCACACGAAGGTAAAAGTAGCCCAAAGTTGCTGGGAAGTACGGGTCACACAATCAAAGTGTTTTTCGGTGATTTACAAATTGGGTAGTCAGAATTAGTTAAACTTTAACAATGTCGGGACCAATTGTAAGTTAACTTTTCTAGTGGATCTTTTTGGCAAGGTTTGCCCGGAGGTTTTTGATTCGAGGGGTTTTCCTCCAACGTCAGTATATGGCTTTATTTACTTTATATGCTTTTGATTTATACGTTTGTGATTGTATAACTTACCTTAATCATCTAGAAACAATTAAAAAGTGACATATTTTATTTATAGGTTAATTCCACAATTTAGATCTAAACGAAGTGATATATATTTTGAGTTATACTGAAAATATGCTTAGATGTCATATTCCCGCATATATAGGTCTAAATGAAGTCGGGTTATAACAAGAATTATTTCATGAAAATATGCTTGGATGTCATATTCACATTAAGATTCAGTATTCATGTTGCAACTATTGAATGGGTTCCAACTAGATGGTATCATGAAAGCTAAAGAATTTAAATAAACTTCAAAGTCCTTATGTTGTCATCTAGAAGAATCCTTCAACACCTTTTTTAGTAGGTCTGCTGGTTCAAGCTATCTGGTATCAATTTACTAAGATCAGATTGCATATCCATCAACCATATGTCCAACTTCAACAGAACTAATGGCGACTTCAAGAATTTCCAGATCAAATTCATTGTTAGGTCCTACTATAATAAATTCATTGGACATGCTGGAAGGCTTGTAAAAAGTCAAAATTTGAGGATATGCAAGAAGCAATCACAAAATATTCGCCGCATTCTGCCACTCTTAAATACATTTCCTTAGCAAATTCCATTTTAGGTCAACTGAACTATTTTGAAGAGCTTTATTTTTCCTAATTTGGGGGTCCATTGTCAACAACTGAAGTCAACGGACCCGTTACAATTTCACGATGTTATCCTCCTTGCATGCTCTTTTAAACTCAAAGCAAATTGATTTTCCAAAGCCAATGGTGATGCTGCAGGTACGGGTGGCATTATTTGAAAAGGAGTTGGTTCACTCATGGCTTGGCTGAATCTCATTGGAATTCAATATTGATTGACCATGCCATCAATAATGTTATCATGGAAACAGATTTGCGAAGTTATAATAGAAGCTCTACCTGCACATGTTAATTAATATTGCAAAGGGACTAATAAGATTCCTGCTTCTAAACAGTAAAAGGAGCAAAACTTGAACCTTAGCAATTGTAGCTATTCTTAAGCTCATGACACAATAATCAGTAACAAGTTAAGCCTTTTTCCCAAGCACAGAACTATTAACGTGCTTCTATTAAGAGGTTAATTACCTTTGTTATGATCAACATAGCCCAGTTAAAACATAGTCAGTTCCCTTCCTTATATTTGCCATTAAGATGAAACTGGAGTGGGACAGAATAAAAATCCAGATGGACAAACACAAATGTAAATATACAAATCATTTTCCCCTAAATTTCCTCATTGTATTTTCTTCATCTCCATGACTGAGCACACTGTCTGGTGGTCATGCTGTATCCATGATCATTCTCCACCCACTTGTTTCTTTGCTTCTTCTCTGACCCGGGGGGGGGCAAAAAAAGTACTGGCACAACACGTCGCCAACTAGTTATAATAAAATTTAATTTTTTAATTAGAAGTTACAGCATTAGATTTTTAGTTTTTGAAGAAGTCTTTGGCATACAAATGGTAAAGCTTTGGGTTCATTTTTATTGAGAAATAGATTTCAATTGCTTATTCAATATTAAGGTAATGAGCCCATTTTCATTGAGATTTGAGAAACATAGCAATTGTGCCTGGTCACTTCCCCCCTCTCCGGTTGACTATGTAAAATGTGGTTAGTGGTGGGTCTAAAAGAAATGTGACTCACTATCAGGTATGGGCTTGTACTTTAAAAGACTGGTTAATCTAGGATATGTCTCAAATTGTCGCTGGCAGAAGAAAACAACCATTGCAGCATCACTTCTCCTTTTTTGTCATTCCCGCCATAACATCCACTTGCACGACGGCAAGACACTCACTTATCTGCAAAAATGGAGGTCAAGTCTACACTACTCGCTTCTCGTTTTTTACTCTTTTAAAGTATTATTAAATTTTCCAGCGTGTTGGATATAACACCACGTTGTGTAAGAGAAATGTTGAAGACATCTCTGGCGCTTAAAAAACAGAAGAGATTAACATGCCATGTATGTGCAGAGGGCAGGGCTATGATAACAAAATTTTAACACATTTTAATTCAGTGCTGATTAAAAATTGCATATGATATAAAATTCCAGGCACAAACATATCAAATCATAGAGCATTTTATCTGCAATATAATTCTGAAATGAACATGTTGTAACTAAGCTGATAACTTTTAAATACCTCATCATCGGGTCGTAGATGAGACTGAAATATTACAAGTATAGTTTGCAGCGACTTAAGTTGAACACTCTCATCCGCCATTTCACCGTGCTGGAAAAGGATGAAAAAGAATCTTGAGATATACAGAATGGAAATGAAAGAAACAAATTAAATAGGGTCCATTTATCATGGATGAAAAATCAAAGCTAAGGTCAACTTTTCTTAAACAAACATTGATTAGAAACCAAACGGACTAAAACAATGGCTGGTTTTTATATGTTCACAAACATTCATTTTATCACACAAGTTTCTTTGTATTAAAATAAAGCCAAAGTACTAGTTCACTTTCAAGATGAGAAACAGATAACCGTTTACACAGCAAAATAGGGCTGTTTATAATGGTATTATGTATTTTGAGGTTCTGCATGTCTAAAAGTACTCCTACAGGTTACTCCATCAATAGAAAAAGGGATGCTGGTAAATGTGGTTTGGTTAGCTCCTAATAAAACTCAATGGTTTGTGATTACCTCACATATATGTACGGTACCCTCATTATCTACCTGTTAAAGCTTGAGTCTCACAAAAGGGAAGATACGTTTTAAAAATAAGTTTTTGTAATTTTTCTATAATGGTTACAAGAGATTCAACTTTCACCACAAGGGTTAAACACGATTTTGTGACTTAAACAGGGTTCACTTATTTCTTCTATTTTTGTAATTTGTTGTGGTTAATTGTTTAACTAACAAGGAATTTGAACATCAATGTGAACTAAAGAAAAAGATGAGATAATTTGTGATTAATGACAAGAAGCACGCTAATACTTAGTCAACTCACAAATTCAAAAAGAAAATTAACAATATCCAACTTCTTATATTATTAGTAACATGAATTCATTGAAGAATGATAGAAGTCTACAACGAACATGAGATAGAGGTCATTAACGGAATAGAAAACTAATCAGCAGTAAAATAAATCTTAGTTAGATTAATCAAAGGAAAGGAAAAATCTTCGAATTCCTTAGTTGTACAAGCCCATAAAGAAGATAAAAACTTGTCCCTTTCCTATAATTGACATGTTTCTTATTCCTTCTCTTCAAAAACTAGCAATCTCTCCATTCATGAGACCTACCAAAACCACAGACTTCCACATATTATATCCTAAGCTTCTGGACCCAAAACCAATACATTTTGCTAAAAGAAAGTGTTGCATCTTTGTCAAAACCCAGAAAAAAAAATGAAGAAGCTGCATCTATTAAATATTGACAATCTTCACAAATATCTTGCAATAGAGCAGTGAATGTTCAATTCTTTCTACATCCTTCGTGCACATATTATGTCCTCATAGGGCACAATGCCATGAAGGGTTACTCAAAGATAATTAGATTAGTTGAAGGCAGATAATTATATTACTCTATGTCGTATATAACTTTTCTGTTAATAAATTCAAGCACGTATTAAGATTTGAAATGTTTCAAATGTTAACCTCCAGAATCCTGACATGCAACTTTGTGACTGCACAAAAAATGACCTAAAAATTTAGTTGGACACAAGAACAACACATTTCATGAGTCCAAACTGCATCAATTGATAGGACAAAAAGTAATAAGGGATAAACCTATTAACTGCATAACAAATGCTTTAAATATGACCTCAATGCAGATATATGATGGATGGAACTGAATTGAGTACAGTATGTGTGGACACGAGAGAGAGAGAGTGGTTGCTTGTGCAAGCTGGGTAACTTACTTCTTTAAGAGTGGAGAGGATTTCGTTCAAAGCTGAAGGAGCAACAGCATCGTGAGAAATGAGCTTTTGCAGACAAGACAGTCCAATCACGCTCAACTTCACGTTCTTGACCTCACACGCCATCAAAAATATTCTCACTATATCCTCATCCTGCGCAATTTCATTTGGGCTTGCTAATGATCTAAGCTGCATATTCCAAAAACTCAATTTTTCAGTCAAATAGAAAACCAAGAACTTGAAATTCAAACGCTTCACTTTTAACTTCATAATACTGCAGTATGGCATTTTGACATTCTATGTGGCTGCATAGTCTAATTTAAGGGCAAAATTTGTTGAAGCGAACGACCAGATGATTCAAATTGAATAAATGAGTATGAAGAAATGACAAAAAATAGGCAGAGCTTTAGAAAAGTCAATTATAACGGGAGCGAAAAGGGACCTTCAAGATTGCGTGTTCAGCGGCGTCTTTGACGGCGGGATAACGACGGCGAGCTTCCGCTGAGAGAGCCCTCAGATCTGACTCTAACACCGCCATGAATGTGGCCATCTTTCTCAATCAACACACATAAACCCACAAAATCTCCCTCTCTCTCTCTTTTCTACTTAATTTTGTAATTTAGACACATATGATCTACGTCCAAAGCTTGAAAATCAAACTATTCTTAATGCTGTTTGTGCGTCCGCGGATAAAAGAGAAGATAGATCTGTTGTCGGGAGCACGTGCTATTCCAAGAGGGACAAATCAGCTGGGCTGGGCGTTCGCCTGAGCTAGTTAAATTCTCAATACACCCTTTCCGAACAGATAACTGGATATATAGGGGGTTTGACACAATGTGTCTGTCTGTGCCTCCTTATTTGTGTATAATATGTTATACAATGGTAATTGATGTTGAAATATGTGATTTAAAAAGAAGGAAAAATTTTTGATTTATTCTATAATCTCTAAATTTTGATAAAATGTATTATGAAATGATATTTTTTGGAAGAAGGTGTGATTAAAAAGAAATTATTTATATGTAATATTATTTTAATAAAAAATGTATTATCAAAAAAAGAATGAGAAAAATGTATTAAAAATTCAAAGTTTGTCAAACAACGTTATGCCTCTTTCTCTTTTGAAAGTTCAAATATACCCTCCTTTTTAAGAGCCTGTTCGAGTCCTATTTTGATTAAGAATGCATTTTGAAATAGTAAATTGATATAAAATGTGTGATTAAAAAAATTAAAAAAAATTAAATTTACCTGTAATATTAGTTTATTAAAAATTGTATGATTAAAAAAAGATAGTAAAAAACGTATTTTGAAAATAATGAAACTCAAACAAGAGCTAAGCCCTTGTTTGAACCTCATTCTTTTCAAAAAAAAATATATTTTTAAACAGTGTTTTAATATCATTTCAACCACACATTTTTCAATAAAATATTATTATGCTCAAATTCAAAAACTTTTTTTTTAACCACACATTTCTCATCAATATACTACTCAAAAATTCATTTTCTCCTAAAAAATAGGGCTCAAACAAGGGCTAAATCTTTAATTTTTTCCCCCAGTGTGTAAATAATACTTTTATAGAAAAATACATCTTTTAATTGATTACTAGTTTTCCACCCGTCTAATGCACGGGCTTTGTCATTTTTAAAGTAATATTAACTTATTAACGTGTCAAAATATCTATTCAGTTCTCTCAACAAATCTACAAATTTGATTAATTTTAAAATGATAAATAGAAATGTAATCTTCATACATGACACACTTTTGACATTAAAAAAAATTAAAAGTTTATTAGAAAATTTTCTAAATGACATCAAAAATTTTATTAGATTATTTAAAAAATTAATTGATCGAGAGATTGAAGTAACAATAAGAAAAAAATTTCTAAAAACGATCGAATCTCTTTTATATATAAAAAGTTTTCAGATGTTAAAATATGAACATGAAAAATTAATTGGCCTCAATTTTGTGCTGCTTTAATTGAAATGTATTTTCTGGGAATAGGATAAGTGTTCCCTTAATGCATGGATTAAAAACTCAAATTATTGGAGCTCATAATTTATATATCAAACATTATTTTAGTTTGAGTGGTTATTTTATATATAAAAGACTTATTTGATGATAATTATATTCAATATAATTAAATCATGTAATTAATCAAATCTTTTTTTTAATGTTTAATATCCAATCCATTTAATGAATTTTTTTTATTTACGTATAATATTATTTTATGGAAGATTCTGCGATTGAAAATAAAAGAGAGAAAAATTTAATTGAGCCAAACACAAGCTGAGCCACAGTATAGCATTTTGTCATTTAAATAGGGTTGAGATTTTTATTTAATCATCCAATTTTGATATATTTGAATTTAATCCTCCAAAATTTATATACATCTAAATTATTCAATATCATCAAATAAGTTAATCAACATCTTTTTGATTGAGTATTAAATTTTTTCAACATTGTGTTAAGTTTTACTTTGATTTATTGCAACTACTTTTAGGAAATTAGCAATATACATTATTTAGTATACTCATTATCACGTTATATAAAGATAAAATAGATTTGTATAAAAAATATATCAATCACCAAGGAAAAAATGAAATTATATTGAGAAAATTGTCGCGAAAAAATAATAAACATTAATAAAATAATTGATTTTTTTAAAGAAAAAAGGACGAGTTTTACGTATTTTTTAATACACAAGTTTAATGTGTGTTTTAACTATTTTCGATATTCATTTAAATTATTCGATGTATCTATTACATAATTCTCAAAATGAACTTCGAAAAAATATAGAAGATTTATGATAAATTTTTATTTAAAAAAACTAAATAAATTACCTAGTGAAAAAAAATTGATACAAAAAAATATCAATTACTGAATGAAAAAAATTGACATTGAGCATCATCTTAAAAAAATAAAAATAAAAATGTCTGACGGAGCAACTCAGTGCATCACGGAGTTGCTCTATTTGTTTTTTCTTTTTTTGTCAAATTTTTTTTCATTAGATGATTTATTTAGTTTTTTTTATAAAAATCTACTATAAATTTTCTATATTCTCTCGAAACTCATTTCGAGAACTATATCATAAAAATATTGAATGATCTAAATGAATATCGAAAAGATTAAATGTACATCAAACGTGTGTGTTAAAAAATGCGTATAACTCGTTTTTTTCTTAAGAAAATCAATTTTTTTATTAATATTTATTATTTTTTTGCAACAATAAATTTTGATGTCATTTAAAAATTTTTCTAATAAACGTTTAAATTAGTTTAATGTCAAAAGAAACATCATTTAAAAATTTCGATAACAAACTAACTTTATAAATTCATCGACGATTATACGGTAGTCGAATGCATAAATCTTTTATATTCTCTGGAAACTCATTTTGAGAACTATATCATAAATACATTGAATGATCTAAATGAATATCGAAAATAGTTAAACGTACATCAAATTTATGCGTTAGAAAATGCTTATAACTCGTCTTTTTTCTTTAAAAAAAATCAATTATTTATTAATGCTTATTATTTTTTCGCGACAATTTTTATAAAAAAAATTATGTGGTATGATGTCAACTATTTTTTATTGGACGTAAAAATTCAAATCAGACAAAACAGCAGCACCACACAAGCGTAGTAAGATCATTACTAGTGATTTCAGGAGTAAAGTGGGATATTATGTAATATTCAATGGTAAAATAGAAAAACACAAAATACGTCTTGAATCAATAGTGCTCGCCAATTGTAGTAGGAAAAAAAAATTTAGTAACTTTTGAGCCCACCTTGTTTGAGTATTTGATTATACATTTATTCTACCTTCTCTTATACGTGTTACAGAGCAAGACTCTCCATCCTTTTATATAAAAAAATTTCAACTTTTGAGCCTACCTTTTGGGACTATTTGGCTACATGTTAGCTCTATCTTCTCTTGTACGTGTCACAGAGCAAGTGTTTAAAGTATGTATACCTTCTTTCAATCACTTGGGACCCACCGGTGAAAGAGGTCGGTCAAAAATTTTGGCTAAAAACTCTCCCACATAGAGACCAAAAATAGAAAAATGACGGAAATATCCATATTACCCTTTTTTTCAAAGTTGGCCTCTTTACTGAACAGTCCATTTGAGGGAAAGATGGGAAAGGAAAATACGTCTCGAAAAAACAGCACTCGGCAGATTCCCTCTTTTAAGGTANAACACTAAGCACTCAAGTCAAATTATTCGAGCCCAAAAAAATCAAGACCACAAGAGACAACATCAAAGAAAGAGGTCAAGATCAAAGTCACGCATTTAAGAATTTACGATCCAAACTTCTGAAGAAGATCAAATACTTAATTTCTTAGACAAAATATAAAGGTTAGTACACTGATATTTGGCGAGGAATGGTTAAGCACAAAATCAGTTCATGCATTAAAATAATTTTTGTTCATTAAAAGTCATTCTAATGCAATATTTTGATCAAATATAAAAAATACTTTTATAAATGATATTTAAACTTAAAAAATATTTTTTACCTTGAAAATTTTAGTTAATAATACTTTTCAAAAATCCATGCATTTTTAAACTCTCAAATCGAAACAAACGGTGCCAAAACGTAAAAAAATCACACTGGTATAGCGGTCAACCGGACCCTCTTTAACAATCCAAAATTTAACTGTTTTGACATTTTTTTTTACTATACAAACAGCTCTATTGGTCATCCGGGCAAGAGGCGGTTAACCAAATGTGTTTTGCAATACAGATTTGTTTGATATTTTGAACTCTATAAATACCCACATTCCTTACATTCATTTCAACACTTCAAAGAACATTAAAGTGAGATACGTTTGAACTTTAACTTTTGATACATAGTCTTTGTTTATATTTATCAATTCATTTACTTTTAAAAAACTATCGGGTTAACTTACTTTTGAAAATCATTTCATTTATCAAAAAAAAAAAATTTCTTTTTCTAAATCTAACACTTGAGTTTTTTTCATTGTTATACATTAGTGTTAGCCCACTTCGCTTCTTGTACTCAACTTTGAATGTATCTCTTATTGTCAGGAAAGTTTCAAATTGTAAACTCATTATCTTATAAAGTTGTGGGTCGTGTTGAAGTCTCATAAAGCTCAACATTGTAAAAGGATCAGTGCTCCTTGTTTGTAAGTTACTAGATGCGTTGAAGGTTGGATTACACTATAAGTCAATCAAATTTAGTGAAAATGCCTTACTCGTGCCGAAGAGCTTGGTAACGGAGAACGTAGATCATTACGTTGGATCGAACCTTCACAATTATATTGTTTTCATCCTCTCTAACATTTATTGCTTTTATATTGCCCTTATTATTTGAATTTATTTTTTTAGTCTTTACTTGCTTTCGTATTTGTGCATATTTGTTTAATTATATCATTTGCTATTATATTGGTTTAAATTTAGAATTAATTTTTGAAGAAAATTTTAAAAATCAATTCACCCCTTCTTTGTTAGTCATTCTTGGACTTTCAATTAGTATCGGAACTTGATACTTATTTTCAAAGATTTCATAATCTTGAGTAATAGCTAACCTAATGTTTCAAAATCTTAAGAGTCATTCTACAAACTGACCTCTCTTATTTGATGGCACACATTATTATTATTAGAAGAGTTGGATGATGATTTATATATTCAATCAATAGATAACAATATTTGGGAAGTTGTCGAATACAGAAGGATGTGCCTAACAAAACTATTAAAATTGATGGAAAACCAGATCAAACTATTCCTAAATCTAGCGAGGAATATGATGAAGAGGATAAAAAAAAATTGTTCCCAAATGTTGTAGCCAAGAACTTATTTTATCATGTAT